TCACCCCACCTTGGCAGCACCAATGCTGCCGGTAGCCAACATGGTGCCGTACCCAAAAACACCCCAAGTGTCCCCAGCATGAAGCTTTTCCCCCAAAAAGCCCGTTATTTCCCCCCAAAATTAAACACCACGGAGCTGCAGGGGTGTCTCTGTACCCCCAAAGCCTCCTGGCTCCCCAAAACCACGGGATTTTGGCCACCGAGCGGGGCTGAAGCAGGAGCAACACCTCAGCCTCGTGCCCCGACCCCATCGCCGAGGCCAAAATCACCCCAAAAGGGGAGAAATCCTCAATCCCTGCGACCCCGCGGCCTTTTGGATGAGTTCAGCCGCCGGGCTCGAAGCATCGCCCTCACCAAAAACAGCGCCCGGGGGTCCCCCGAGGGTCTGGGTGCTGCTGGGACCAAACCCGTTGCGTTTGCGTCCCCCCCAAAATAAATCACCCATCTCCCCCAAACCCTTTCCACCACCTGGAGGGAGGGGGGGGGAGGTCTCCAGCGCCCCTGCTTTGACCCAGGGGCCGAATCCTGAGCGGGGCGGGGGAAGATAAAATAAAAAAGGAGGAACCGGGCGCTAAAAGGGCCGGCTTATCAGCGAGCCGAGGATAAAGGCACAGAGGGAGCGCCGAGGAGCTAAATTTACCCAGGCGGGGAAGGAGCAGGCAGGGAGCCTATAAATACCTTCAAGGTAACAATGCAAAGAGCAGAGGGAATCGCGGGCGCTCCCCACGATGCCACCACCCCACCCGCCGTAGCCCCGGGCCACGGGAGGAGAGCGGCAGAGCCCAGCCCAGAGCACGGCACCGGGCTGACCCTGAAAATCCCGCTGCTGTCCCCAAAAAAGCCACCTCACACCTCAGAAAGACACCTCGACCCCCAAAAAGCCACCTCGTCTCCCCAAAAAGCCACCTCGTCTCCCCAAAAAGCCACCTCATCCCCCCAAAAAGCCACCTCGTCTCCCCAAAAAAGCCACCTCGCCGCCTTCCTCTCCGTGGCCCGGTTGCACGCACCCAACCGGCTCTTGCTTGGGCTGGTTTCTTCCCACCAATTTTTAAAAAAAAAATAGCACTAAAGACCTAAAAGTGAGCTAAACTAAAATAAAGCCGCCTTCCTTCAGCAGCCAGGGGGCAGCTCCCGCAGCCGCCTTCGATTTGGGGCTGGGGACGCTGCTGGACCAAAGCTTTTCCACCTGGGGCTTGGGAGCAGCCCCGGTTTGAAGCGTCCCAAATCCCCTCCGCACCTTCCCCCATTTGGGGGCCACGGGGAGAGGGGACCCCCAAAAGCCAGCAGGAGGGGTCCCCGCCACCCTCGGCGCAGGGAGGCTGACCCCAAGCCCGCTGGCAAGCGGCGAGAGGCGGGCACGCAGCCAAAAGGGAGAGAAATCACCCCAAAATGCATCGCCCGTTAGTGGAATAGAAGGGAAGGCAGCGAGGAGCCGCACCACGACGCGGGGCGGGCACGTGGCGGGGCGGCGCGTCGCCCTCCCCCGAAGGGACCCATCAAAACTGAGCTAAATAACTGCGGGTTTGGGTTTTTTTCTTGTTTTTTCCCGCTTTTAAGCAGAAAGCAGCGGCTCCGTCCGGCTCTGCCAGCCCCGCGCCACCCCAAAGACCTTGGGATCCCCACGGATCCCAAAGGGGCAAGAAACCAGGATTTGGGGTAAAACACACCGGGGGGGTGATACCACAACGCCCTCAAATACACAAATTTTCAACCCTATTTTTTGAAGACCTGCAGCCGCCCAGCCTCCAGGAAGGGGCTTTTTTCCCCTTTTTTCCCTTTTTTCCCCTTTTTTCCCTTTTTTTCCCTTTTTTTCCCTTTTTCCTCCCCTCCAACCTGCAGCACCAGCAGCTCCCCATAGGCGCACAGAAGCCGCCCGCCCCTTCCTTCATCCTCTTCTTCCTCCCCTCACACCCGGCTGGGTTTTGAAGCTCACCAAAAATTTGAGATTTTCGCCTTTCTCCCCCCAATTCTCCACCCCAGCACCCACAACCCCCCCCCCCCCCCCCCCCCCAAATAAAACACAAACCAGCAGGGGCTGGCTCCGCCGGGTGACCCGCTCGCTGCTTTTTTGGGGGGGAGGCTTTAAAAAAAAAAAAAAAAAGGAAAAAAACCAACATTCTGCCCCAATTTGCCCAAAGTTTGAGTTCTTACCGAGCTCCCCGCCGCCCGCTCGTGCCAAGGGCCGGGGCCAGGCTGCAGCCGGCCCCTTCCCCCAGCCACGGGGAGGCGGAGCGGGACGGCCCCAATTTAAATGCTAAAAACGCTTTAAATGGGGACAATCGGGGACGATTGGGGACAATCGGGGACAATCGGGGCCGATCGCTTCCTTCCCTGCCCGCCCGGCCCAGGGGTGGCTGCGCGGGGCCAAAGCGGCTCCCGGTGGGCTGCGGAGCCTCTCCCCCCACCCCAACGGGGTCGTTTGGCCAAACCGGGCTCGGTTTTGAGGGTTTGGGTCTCGCCTGGAGCCTCTTCTGGGGCAGAACCCCAAAAAGCAGCGATTCTGCAGGGAATTCGCTCCACGAGGAATTCGGGGAGGCTCCGGCGAAGCCCCCACCAGCGCCTTCCCAGTGACAGCGAGGCCGTTCCGGGAGCCCCAAACTGGGGGAGCCCCAAACTGGGGGAGCCCCCAAACCGGGTGTCCCGCACGGTTTCGTTCCCGGGAGCGCCCCCCAACCTTCCTCCTGACCCCCAACCTTCCTCCTGACCCCCCGAATCCTCCTCCAAAGCCGCGGTGCCGCAGACGGGGGGGGCTCACTGCCCTGCCCGGAGCTGGAACCGGAGCCCCCCGGGGGAGAGGGGGGGGGCTGCTCTTCCTCCTCCTCCTCCTCCTCTTCTTCCTCCACGACCGCTGCCAAACCCGGTGGCGGACGGACGGACGGACAGACCTCCACGCAAAGCCCCCGAGAGCCACACCGGGACGAAAACAGCTCCAAGGGATCCCCAAAATCCCCCCCCCGTGCCCCCCACCATCACTGCCAACCCCACCTGAGGCTGCTGGGGGGGTCCCGGGGGCAGGGGGGGCTCCTGCCCGGTCGTTACCGGAGGCTCCTTGAAGCGAAGCTCGTTAACGAGCTCCACGAAGGCCGTTGGGGGGGTTGGGAGGGGTTCGGGGGGGGTTCGGGGGGTGTCCCCCCCCCTGCACCCCGATGTTGAACCAGCCACGGGGGGGGAGCGCGGGTCCAAACGCCCCCCCAAGATGTCACCGTGTCCCATCCCCCCCCCCCCCATCCCGTGTCACCCAGGTTACCCTGTCCCGGGTGGGGGGGTCATGGGGGGGGGGTGAAGCCCACCCTGACATGGCCCTGGGGCCACGACGTTGTCCCCTTGTCCCCCCCCAAACAGCCACAGCCCCCCCATAACGCCTGCCCCCCCCCTCCAGGCACACCCCCCCACGTCCCCAAAACTCTCACAGGTGCCCCCCCCCCAAACCCCACCGTGCCCCCCCCAAAACTCACCTGCACCCCCCCCCCCGCCCCCGGGTGCCCCCCCAAAGCCCCCCCCCAAAGCCACCTGCCCCCCCCACCCCCCCCTTGTCACCTGCAGCCCCCCCCTCCCCCCCCTTATCACCCCTCCCTTATCACCCCCCCTCGCTGTCACCTTCACCCCTGCCCCCCCCCGGCCCCCTCAGCCCCCCCGCTCCCCGTCCCCGTTTCAGCACCCCGGACGGTGCCGCCACCGGGGGCTCCGAGCCCCCTCCCCCCCCTCCCCATGCCGGTTCCCGGTACCGGGGGGGGGGGCCACGACCCCACTTCCCCCCTCCCCCCCCCAAACCCCCCCCAACCCCCCCCGGGGCCTGCTCCCCCCCCCCCCTCCCCGGTACTCACCCGTCCGCCCCCCCGGGGCCGGGCCCTGCGGGCTCCTCAGCGCCTCCGCCGCCCCCGGGGCCTCCCCGCGGGCTCCGGGCCCCGCAGCAAGCGCGGGGCCGAGGCCATGGTCCCGTTGAGGCCCCCCCCGGGGGCTCCTCTCCCGGTGCCCCTCCCGGTGCCGCCTCCTCCTGCGCCGCTCCGGCCGCTCCCCCGCCCCCCTCCCGGCGGCGGGGCCTGACTACGTCACGCCGAGCGCGACCGGGCCGCCGCCGACATCTTGGGGGCGGCGAGGGGGGGCCCAGCGCCGCCTCCGCCGCCGCCGCCGCCGCCATCTTGGGGCCGCGCCGCCCCCCGGCCCCCCGCCCCCGCCCCGCCGGAGCGGCCGCCGCCGCCGCCGCCCCCCCCCCACCCCGCCCATTGGCCCCGCGCGGCGCCGCCGTGATGACGTCAGCGGTGAGGCGGCGCCGCCATGTTGGGAGTGGCGGAGGAAGGGGGTGGAGGGGGGGGGAAGGGGGGAAGGGGGAGGGAGGGGGAGGCGGCGCGGTTCCTACGTCATCACCACGCGACGGCCGCGCCGCGCCGCCATCTTGGGGAGGGCGCTGAGAGGGGAGGGGGCGGCCCCGAGGTGGCCGCGCCGGGGCTCGGGAGCCCCCCCCCGGGGGTCCCCGGGGTCCGCTCAGCCCCAAAGGGCTCCCAGGGACCTGTCCCAAAAGGTCCCCGTGGTGCGGACACCCCCAAAGGGCCCCCGTGGCACTGGCCCTAAAACCCCCATGGACTTGAGACCCCCAAAGGGACCCCAAGGCCCTGTCCCAAGAGGTCCCCATGGATGTGACACCCCCAAAGGGCTCCCATGGTCCTGGCGCCCCCAAAAGCCCCCATGGACTTGGACTTGACACCCCAAAAGGGGCCCCCAAGGCCCTGTCCCCTTGGGTCCCCATGGCCCTGCCCCAAAAGTCCCCAAGGTCCTGGCACCCCCAAAGGGCTCCCATGGCCCCGACACCCCCAAATGGCCCCCAAGACCCTGCCCCAAAAGCCCCCATGGACTTGAGACCCCCAAAGAGCCCCCATGGCCCTGTCCCAAGAGGTCCCCATGGCCGTGACACCCCCAAAATACCCCCGCGGCCCTGCCCTAAAGCCTGGTGACGTGGGGGGGTGGATGCGGCCCCCCAGGACGCGGGGTGCTGAGAGGCGCCGCTCCGAGTGACACCGACGCCGTTTATTCCTTGGGGACAGGAATCCCGCGGGGATTGGGGTCAGGCAGCTTTTGGGGACGGCGCCGGGGGTCACACGCTGGTGGCCTGGGCGTCCTCGCCGCCCTCGTCCCAGCTCGGTGTCCCCGGGGGCCGCTGTCCCGTCCTGCCCGGGTGGCCCCGCAGCTGGGCGATGGCAGCGCGCAGCTCGCTGTGGTCCCGCTCCAGCGCCGAAATTCGGCTCTCCTGCGAGGGGACGGCGTCAGCGCCCACCGCCCGGCCCCCAGACCCCCTCCTGGGGCTCCCGGGGCTCCCGGGGCTCTTACCAGCGCTCGGCCCCTCTCCTCGCTGGCCTTCAGCCTCTCCAGGTCCTTCTTCCGCGTGCCTTCAGCCGCCGTCAACCTAAAATTTTGGGTTGGGGATGAGCCCGGACCCCCAGCAGGAGCTGGAAGCGGTTTGGGGGGTGCAGAGCTTGGCGCTGGGCACCACTTTGGGGTCACCTGGCCTTTGGGGTTGCCCAGGCTTTGGGTTCCTCCAGGCTTTGGGGCCCCCCAGGCTGTGGGGCCACCCAGGATTTGGGGTCACCCGGGCTTTGGGCCCCCCCAGTCTTTGGGGCCCCCCAGTCTTGTGGCCACCCACCTGGCTCCCAGGTTGGCCATGCGCGCGTTGGCCTCGTCCAGCTGCTGGCGAAGCCCCTGGAGCTGCTGGCGGTTCTGGCCCTGCTCCTGCCGCAGCCCCCGCAGCTGCGCCTCCAGCTCGCCCGCCCGCACCTCCGCCCGCCGCAGCTTCTCCCGGCTCTCCGCCACCTCCTTCCCCAGCGCCTCGATCAGCCGCCCGTGCTGGTTTGGTTTTTGGGGGGACACAAAAGGGCAGAGGTCAGGAGGGAGGCCGGGGGGTGCCGGGCTGGGTGCTGCCCCCCCCCCAGGTTACCTTTTCCAGGGGGCGGATGGCGTAGAGCTCGCCCTGGGCCGCCGCCGCGTCCTCGTAGCGCTGCCACGGCACCGTGGATTTGCGCGGCAGCGACACCGACGAGCGCAGCTTCGAGCGGCCCTGCGGCACCCGGGGCACCCGTCAGCGTGGGCACCCTGGGGTGCGCAGCAGGGCGGGGGCTTGCCGCCCCCCAAAGGGTCTCCACGGTCATTTCTCGAGGGGTCCCCGAGCCCCTGTGATCCCTGAGGGGTCCCCATGGCCCCAACCTCCCCAAAAGGGTCCCCATGATCCTACCACAAATGTTCCCCATGGCCTTGCCACCCCAAAGGGACCCCAATTGTCCCCCAAGGGACCCCATGGCTCCATCGTCCCCAAAGGGACCCCAATTGTCCCCAAAGGGACCCCACAGCTCCATCGTCCCCAAAAGGTCCCCATGGTTCCATCGTCCCCAAAGGGACCCCAATTGTCCCCAAAGGGACCCCACGGCTCCATTGTCCCCAAAGGGACCCCACGGCTCCATTGTCCCCAAAGGGTCCCCACGGCTCCATTGTCCCCAGTGGGACCCCACAGCCTTGTCCTGGCCCCACCACCCCCAAAACGTCCCCGTGATCCCTCTCCAAAACCTCCCCGTGGCGCTGCCACCCTCGAGGCGTCCCCCCCTGTCCCGGGGCGGGGGTTGTCTCACCGTGGCCTCTCGAGGGCCAGAGCCCCCCGGGGGGTCCTCGCCTTGCGTCCCCGCCACGTGCTCGGCGCTGCTCTGCTTGCGCAGGCGGCGGGCGGCTTTGTTCTGCGCCGGGACGCTCTGGGTGCGCTGCACGTTCCTCCGCTCGCGGCCGGGCCGAGGGGACGGGGACGGGGACGGCGCCCGCCCCGGCTCCGCGTCCGTCCCGTCCTCGCGGCTGCGCACGCGGCGGATGCTGACAAGGGACTGGCTCTTGATGAGGGGGCTGTGCTTGCTCAGGTCCCGCGGGGGCACGAAGCCCGGCTTCTGGCTCTCCGCCGGGCTGGGCGAGGAGAGGGGGAGGTGGCACCCAGAGTCACCCCGTCCCCAACCAGGAGCAGAACCACCCCGAAAAGCTCCCGGTGTCACCCTGCTGGCCCCACACGTGTGTCCCCTGCCCACCCCCCGGTACCTTCGCTCCGTGGTGGAGCTGAGCCGGACGGAGACGGGCACCGGGGTGCCCTCCCTGATGGCATTGAGGATGGTGGGCAGGGGCTCCAGCTCCTCCTGCGTGGCCTGCCAGGACAAAACGGGGACGTTACGGGGACGCCGGGTGGCCCTAGGGTGGGTGACACACACGTGGCAGCGAGAACCCGGCTCAGCGCACGGGGACAAGAAGGAGGCCGGGGTCACCGGCCCCACGTGGGGACGGACACACGGGGGTGGTGGCACCTGGTCCAGGCTGGAGAAGATGTCGCAGAGCAGGAGGTGCAGGGTGGCGAGCTCCAGGGCCAGGTCCACGTAGCCGTCGTAGGTGGCCATGTGGACGCTGCTCTCGGGGTTGGCCACGCTCTGCAGGAAGGTCGTCATCGGGCCCCAGTGGTGCTCCAGGAACTCGTTCATGAAGCCCATGTAGGCCTCCTTCTCGCCGAACCTGGGCACCGTGGTGGCCTGTCACCGGCGTCACCGCCGCGTCCCCAAACCCGGCCACCACGGGTGAGGGCACTGCCGTGTCCCCGTGGCGTGCCAGGGACGTCCCCGGTGTCCCGTAGGGTGTAGGATCCCTTCCTGCAGCCCCATGCCACGGAGGAGCTGCCCCATTTCACGTGGCCTCAGGGCACCTTGGGGACATCCCTCCTGCCCCATGGCCGTTTTAGGGCACACCCCACAGGCTGTAGGGGCTGTAGGGGCTGTAGGGGCTGTAGGGGCTGTAGGGGACATCGATGCCGCCCCATGGGGACCCCCCTCCCCACCAGCACCGCCGGTGCGCCGTGACCTACGTGGTGAAGTTGGCCAGGTTCTGGATGACCTTGGCCACCAGGGTGAGGGTGCGGGCGGTGGCCTCGCTGGGGTACTCCTGGACGAGGCCGAAGAGGCTGGGGGACATGATGGCCGGGCAGAGGAACCGCAGGAAGAGCGAGGCCGACACCAGGCGCTGCCCGATGGCCGCCTTGCCCCGCGCCGCGCACTCCTCCTGCCACGCCGCGAAGATCTCGCCCAGCTCCGCCGGGAAGGCTCTGCGGGGACAGGCGGGGGGGTGGGTGGCCCCAAAGTCCCCCCGCGATGCTCCCGTGTCTGTCCCAGACCCGTCCCCACGTCCCTCCCAGTGCCCATCGCCGTGTCCATCCCAGGCGTGGCGCCTTTCTCTGTTCCTGTCCCCAGACTTGTCCCCGTGTCCTTCCCCGTGTCCATCCTGGTGCCAGGACCCGTTCCCGTGCCCGTCCCCAAGCCCGTCCCCGGGTCTTCCTGCTGGTGGCTGTCCCCGTGCCCTCTCCCGTGCCCGTGCCGTTGCCCAAGGCCTTTCCCGTCCCCTGCCCCTCACTCGCAGGACGTGGCGATGCGCTGGAAGGTCTCCTCGCAGACCTGCCGCAGGTTGTTCTGGTTGTCGGAGAGGTCGGGGCCGGCGCATTTACTGGGATCGACCTCGCAGCTATCGTCCGAGGTGCAGAGCTGGGCCAGGGCCTCACCTGGGCACCGGGGGCAACTGGTGAGGGACTGGCCGGCCCCCACCATGGGCACGGCTGTGACGAGCCCCCAGGGGTGTGCTGGGGGTGTCCCGCAGCCCGAAATGCCCCATAATACCCCATAACATCCCACCCATGCCCTGCACCCCGTAATGCCCCCAAAGCCTTTTAATGCCCGGCCGTACCCAGCGTGTCCTGGAGGTACTTGCCCCCCACCAGCTTCATGTATTCATCAATGGCCTTGGTGGCCAGCGTGTTCTCGCGGAAGATCAGCGCCTCCCGGTCGTCGAAGCGGTCCAGCTCGGCCACGCCGAGGTCAATGAGGAACGCCTGCGGGGTGGCCACGGCGAGGGGCTCAACCCGTGGGCCCAACGGGACTTGGCAACCCCAGCCCGGGCAGTGCCTGGGTCTCCTGGAATCCCCTTGAACTGAATTTCCCATCCTATCCCATCCCATCCCACTCACAGCACCATGCCATGCCACGCCATCCCATCCCAACCCATCCCAACCCAACCCAACCCAACTCAACTCAACTCAACCCATCCCATCCCATCCCATCCCAACCCATCCCAACCCAACCCAACCCAACTCAACTCAACTCAACCCATCCCAACCCATCCCATCCCATCCCATCCCATCCCATCCCAACCCAACCCAACGCATCCCAACCCAATCCACCCCAACCCAACCCAACTCAACTCAACTCAACCCATCCCATCCCATCCCATCCCATCCCATCCCGTCCCATCCCAACCCAACCCAACCCAACCCAACCCAACCCATTCCAACCCCCCCCCACGTCCACCACACCTCGCTCATGGCGCTCCCTACCTTGGCTTTCCCGGTGCTCTGCAAGACGTGGACCAAAGTTCCGGCCAGCTCCTCCTTGTGCCGCACGGCGATGGTGGGCTCCAGGTGGGCGCACAGCTCGCGGTAGTGGAAGGTGATGAATTCGGCCAACTCCTTGTAGCGCACGATGGGCAGCACCCGCACCTCCCGGTACCGCCCGCGCACCCGCACCGCCGGCGCCCGCTCGCCGCTGCCATGGCCGCCCAGCGGGTACCAGCGCTCCAGGGGCTGCCGGGCGGCCGCCAGCTCTGCCAAGGGGACGGTGACAGATGCCACCGTCTGGCAGGGGTGGCCCTGGTCATCGCGGCACAGGGCGAGGGTGAGGGCGCGGGCGGGCGGCAGGGCGGCCAGCTGGAAGAGCTCGCCCCAGAAGAGCTCGCCGTCGGGACCGGCCACCTTGGCGGTGGTGCGGGCGAAGAGCGCGCCGTCCAGGAGGAGCTGGCAGCGGAGGTGGCGCCGGGGTGGCAGGTCCCGCGCCTCGTACACCCACAGGCTCAGCGCCAGCTCCAGCCGCTCGCAGTTGTCCTGGGGAGGGCGAGGGGGGGGGAAGCGTGGGGTCAGGGGTAAGGGGAGGGGGTGTAAAAGTCAGTGGGGGCGTTGGGGGGACACGGCGTGGGGGTTTGTGGGTGGAGATGGGGACAGGAGGGGACGTGGGGTCAGCCAAGCCCTCGGGACAAAAGGGGGCATGGGTGGGGACAGGACCCATGCTCAGGGTGCCGGGGGGTGTCCCTGGGGGTGGCGGGGGTGTCCCATGGGTGCCCATCCCACCTTGTTGGGCTGCACGGTCCGGCGCAGGTTCTCGATCCAGCGGTCGCGCTCGGCCAAGGACGTGCAGCCAAAGGAGCGGCTGCCCTCAGCGGTGATGATCTGGGTGCAGGGGAGGTGTCAGGAAGGCACCCCGGGGTGCCCAGGGGATGGCCCTGGCTTGGGGTGCTTATGGCTGTGCTAGGGTGCTCTGGGTGCCCAGCGGGGGTCCCCTGGGGGCTTGGGCAGGGTGCCCTTGGTGCTCTGGGTGCCCCAGGAGCCAGGCAAGGAATTATGTTGGGGTGCTTGGGGTGCTCTGGGTGCTCCTCCGGGGTGTCCTGGGTGCATGCCCACGATTTCTGGGTGCCCTGGGTGCCCCGGCCACCTCCCAGGGGTGTCCCGGGTGTGTGGCGGGGGCCGCTACCTGGAAGCAGAACTTCTCCCCCACGATGCTGCCGTGCACGGGCCGGATGATGACGTTGTCCCCGGTGAGGTCCAGCTCGGCGGCGCTCGGTGGTGGCAGCAGGGACTCGCGCGAACCGCTCTGGCTCGGGGTCCTGAGGGGGACACGGCTGCCACCAGGGGCCCTCCCCGGTGTCCCCACCACCGTCCCCGCCGCCTCCCACGGGGCCGTACCTCTCGCCGTCAGCCACCGCCGTCGTCTCGGTTTTGGGCACTGCGCGCCCTTTCCGATCCCGGAGCCGCTTCCACAGCAGGCCCTGGTTTAGGGACAAGGGGATGGATGCCACGGATGCCACGCGACTTCCTGGGTGTGGCGTGGCACCCAAGGGTGGCGCCAGGCCCGGGATGCCCACCTTGACATTGCTGAACTGGGAGGTGACCGAAGCGTCGCTGTCGGTGCCTTTCCCTGCTGCCCGTGTGTTTCTCTCCTCTGTGGCCGGGTCTGCTGGAGCCACCCCTATCAGCCCCCCCCTCAGGTGCACCCCCAGCCCCCCAACACCACGGTAGGGTGCAGGGGGGCAGGATACAGCCCAATCCCCCCCCACCACCACCCCGGGAAACATCAACCAAAGCGGGAGGGAGGACGGAGCCCTCCTGCCCCCGGAGGTTCTGGGTGCCAAATCCTGCCCACCTGTAGCCCCAAAATTCAGCCAAGCCTCGGGTGCAGCCCGTTCGTGGGTGTGAGGGAGAAGGGTGCAGAGGGGCTGGGGGTCTGGGGGGGTCAGGGGAGGGGGATCTCACCTCCCTGCGCGGCGCAGAGCAGCCAGCGGCGGGGGCCCATGGCTGGTTGGCGGCGGCGCCTGCCCGCGCTGATGGGGGGCGCGGGGAGGAAGCCGAAAGCGCTTATCGGCCGGATCAGCACACGCAGCAGCGTGGAGGAAGCAGTGACGGCGCCCGGCACCCTTGCACGGAGGACTTCCTCCAGGCCCCAGCGCTCGGTGTGGTGCACGGCGCGTGGGGCAAGGTGAGGGGCATGGCACGGGGCATGGCACGGGGGGCAGGGCGCAACGCACGACGCACGGCGTGGGGCACGGCGTGGGGCACGGCACAGGGCACAGAATGGGGCTTGGCGTGGGGCATGGTGCAGCGTGGGGTGCGTGGCACGGTGCACAGGGCATGGGGTGGTGCGTGGCGTGATGGATAACATGGAACATGGCACGAGGCATCGCACGGGGCATGGCCACGATGCACGGCGTGGGGCGTGGGGCACAGTGCGTGGGGCGTGGGGCACGGTGCGTGGGGCGTGGGGCACGGTGCGTGGGGCGTGGGGCACGGTGCGTGGGGCGTGGGGCACGGTGCGTGGCGCACGGCCCAAAGGCTCCCCGCACAGGAGCTGCTCCAGAGCTTGCAGCAGCCCTGCCAGCGCCCCGTGCCATCAGCTCACCGGTGTCCCTCCTGCCACCCGCTGGGTGCAGGTTGGTGCTCTCGGAGCTCCCGGTCCGGTTCCTGCTCCTGCACGAAGCCTGAGGGCGCAGCGGGGTCAGGCACCGCCACCTCCAGCACCCCGTGCACCCCAGGGTGCCCCGGGGTCCCCGTGTCCTCACCTCCTCGTCCCTGCCCACGTGGATCAGGTGCCCGTCCACCAGCGAGAAGTTGGAGACGTCCCACACTGGCGCATCGGGTGCCGGAGCCAGCGGGGCTGTCGGGGCGCTGTGGGTGCTCTCCGGGGCTGGGGGTGCAGAGCAGGGTGTCAGGACCACCCGGTGGGTGCTCGTTTGGTCAGCGCGGTGGCACCAGGGGACGTGGCCGTGGCCGTGCCACCAGGGGTGCAGCGGTGCTGGAGGACGCGTGGCCGGGGAGGTGCCGCCATCAGCGTGGCAATGCCAGGCCGCACGTGGCCACGACCAAACCCTCTACAGGTCACACGCAGGGACCCAGCCGTCCTGCCCCCACGGGTGCCCCCCTACCCAGCACCGGCAGAGCCTGCCCCACATCCTGCCCCACACCACGGCCCAGCTCACAGCCTCCGCGCCCCTCGCCAGCACCCACCCGCCACCCATCACCCCCCTCCTCCCAGACCATCTCCCACGTCCCCTGCCCGCCACCCATCGCCCACCGCCGTCACCCCCTCCCCAGCACCCAGCACCCACTCCCTAACCCTCCCAGCACCCCCGTACTTGGCAGAGCGTCACGGTGCGCCCGCTCAGCCCTGGCACCGCTGTCCCCGTGGCCCTTTCTCTTGGACATGGAGCGCAAATACTTCTGCAGGGTGGCCTTGCCACCTTCGGGGCTCCGCGGCTCCTTGGCCACCTTGGAGGGGGCCGAGAAAGCCCGCTGGAAGAGGGACCGGCGGGTGCTGGCTTTGGGTGCCCCCTTCCCAGCCCCATCGTCGGGGCCGTCGGATTCGGGTTGGCTGTAGGAACGCTTCCAGCCCTGCAGCCGGGTCCAGCGCCGGCTGCCCGGGGACCCCGTGCCCCGCTCGGGTTCCCGGTCACCCATGGGTGCTGCCGTTCGCCATTTGTAGGTCTTCAGCAGCGTCGGCGTCTCGGCTGCTGCTGGGGGTTTCTCCACCTCCATCTGCGGGATGGGGAGAGCCCCGTGAGCCACGGCCACGGGCTGGGGTGGGGACCGGGGTGGGCACCCTTATGTGGGCACCCCTATTTGGGTACCCCTCTCCAAGCATCCCTTCTGGGGCACCCCCATTCTGGCCCCCCTATTTGGCTGTCCTTGTCTCCGCATCCCAACTGGGGCACCCCCATCCTGGCACCGTTACCTGGGTGCCCTCACCTAGGGGGGGCTCTATCCGGACACCCCCTTCCATGTCCCCCTGTCGGGGCACCCCCACATTGCTCCCCAATTTGCACGCTTGCAGGGAGGGCACCGCGGTGCCGCCGACCCCGCACCCACGCCGCCCCCCACGGCACCCCTCCGTGCCGGGGCGCAGGGGCAGCAGGATACGGTGCCACTGGGGCGCGGTGACACCGGGTTGGGGTGACACCGGGGGTGGGTGGCCCTGCAGCCACCCCGGCCCCAGGCACAGGCGGGTGCCGGAGATGTTTCCGTCGCCATCGCGGCCGCGCCACCGCGGCATTTCCTCCCAGCACCTGCACCCTGCGCGTGCCCCACGCCCGCCGGGGGGGGCTCCAGGGATGGGTGACCCCCCCACCCATCCCCAGCCCGCACCCCAGGGTGGGTGCAGGCCAAGGCGGGGGGGCTGCTCCCGTGGTGCTGGTTGCACCCCGCAGCTTCCCTGGGGGGGCACCCGCAGGGTGGAAGCGAGCTGCAGGCGCCCGCCAATTTTGGGGTGCCAGCACCCCGGCGCTGAGCTGGGGAGGGTGCCCCAGAGCTGGGGGTGCTGCCGGTGCTTTTGGGGTCCACTCTCCCCCCTCCCCAGCTAGCAGCACCCTCCAGCACCCCCAGCACCCACGGAGCACCCTTTGCTCAGCAGGGAGCTGCCTCACCCCATGCTGGCACCCCACGCCCCCCCCTTTGGCTCCCTCCCACCCCCGCCTGCTCCCGAGGCTGCAGCATCACCCCAGGGTGCCACCTCCCCGCGGAACCCCCCCCATCCCCGCCGTACCTTGGCCGCCTGCTGCCTCCTCGGCACCCGGGCTCGGCCGCCCCGGTTCCTGCCGTGGCTTCCCCATGTGACCAGGCAGGAGTTTCAGTCACACCCTCACCTCCGCCTCTGCCCCGCTGATGTTATCGGGGCGCCCAGCCCGGCCGGATCACGCTCGGCCACGGCCCCGGGGGGCACCGAGCCGGGAGAGCCACGCCGGGCCCTCCGCCAGGTGCTTGGGAAGTGCCGGAGGCCAGCGGTGTTCGTCCAGCTCAGTGGCCATCATTAGGTTTCAGAGTGAACAGGTGCTGGAAACATCGGCGCTGGAGCATCACGGCACGGGGCGGTGCGGGGACACCTCCGGGGGCTGGGTGGGGAGGGTGGGCGACCCCAGCTGGGGGCTCGGGGGGGTCTCCAAGGTGGGCTCAGCTTGGGCTGTCCCGATGGGCATGGGTCACGCGTGTGCACGTACGCACCCACGTACAGGGTGTGGGACCCCCCGGCCGCCCACCGCCCCGTGCCTCAGTTTCCCCCTCGCTCCCCAGGGGCCGAGCTGCTGTCCTGGCACTGATTTTATTAGGGGGGTGCTAATAAATAGGGGGGTGCAGCGTCCGTCCGGGCTGCCGTCCGTCTGTCTGTCTGGTCTGGGGTCCGGCTGGTGTCCGTGGTCCCCCATCAGGTCTCCATCCACCCTGACCAGGATCCGACCTTGGCAGCACCCGTCCGGACCAGCACCCATCCGGACCAGCACCCATCCGGACCAGCACCCATCCGGACCGGCACCCGTCCAGACCGGCACCCCCCCAGCGCAGCGCCCTTGGAGGCCGGTCCTCACTGCGAAGGAGAGCAGAACCCACGGGCAGTCCCGGCACCGAACCCGCTCCCATCTCAGTGGGCTCGGACCACCCAAACCCCCACCCCCGGTGCCCACCTGGAAGCCGCGCCAGGTCCTGATCTCCTGGAAGAGGGAGTCTCCGGGGCAGCTGGTGTTCACCACCTGCCGGTGGCCCCGCAGGGCGTAGTCGTGGCGGAGCCGGCCGGCCCTGACGGCGCAGGGCAGGAGGCCGTCGCGCACCAAGGCGATGGCGTCGGGGTCGGGCAGGGTGGCCGAGAAGTTGCCCACGTAGCCCACGCCGTAGCCTTTGGTGTTGTGGCCTCTGGTGTGGGCACCCACCCAGTGCCACCCCCGGCCCTGGTACAGGTACCCGTCCGAGCCCACCACGAAGCTGCGGGCACCCAAGGGTGTTGGGTGGTGAGGATGGCGATGGGGTGGCGGGGACAGCAGCAGGGTGCCGGTGACAGCAGCGGGGTGCCGGTGCCGTCGGGCTCACCTGTAGCCGATGTCGTCCCAGCCCCGGGTGTCCTGGTGGAAGCGCTGCATGGAGCGCATGGCGCGGGCACAGGCGGCGAAGGTGCGGCACGGGGCGCTGGGCACGAAGGTGTGGTGGATGTAGACAGAGCCCAGGGGCAGGGACAAGGGTTTGGGGGTGCCCCGGTAGGGACGGGCGCCCCACATGCAGCGGGGGACGATGGCCGGGCACTCTGCGAGGGAAGGCAGCGGGTGGCAGCGGGGAGCATCCGCCCTTGGCTGGGGACGTGGCTTTGTCCCAGGGGACCCGCTCTGGGGGACACGGTGCTGTCCGGCCACGCCAGTCCCTTGTGTCACCACTCAGACCTTGACAATGCCACCCACCCCGGCACCCAGCACCCACCCCGGCACCCAGCACCCATCCCGGCACCCAGCACCCTCCCTCCCACCCAACTTTTCGTCCTGGGGGGGTGCCACCTCCCTACCGACAAAGGTCTCCATGAAGTCCCGCGCCGCCCGGCGGGCGATGGCCCCCTCCTCCTCCTCACCCACGTCCTCCAAGAGCCCTCGGGTGGGCGGCAGCACCCGGAGCAGGCGCAGCATCGCCACCACCTCCTCCTCCAGCTTCTTCAGCCCCGTCAGCGCCCCGAAATCCCGGCGCCGGTAGCTGCTGGGGGGCCGCCCGCTCGCGGTGCCGTTGTCCGTCCCGTAGTAGCTCCGGAGCAGGGGGGCGAGCGGGACGGGTCCCTTGGCCAAGCGGGCACCCAGCAGCACCCCATCCAGCGCCCCGTTGGCGACGGCCTCGGGGACGGGCGAGGGGGGACCCAGCAGGGTGAAGTTTTTGGGGGTTCTCCACGTCGTCCCAGCACCCGCTGGGTCCCAGGGTGGCCCCGCTGTGGTTGTGGGCACGAGCCAAGAGGAAAGCCATCCCCAGCGCCTCGGTGAGGGTGACGGCGTAGAGGGCATCGAGGGCAGCGGGGGGCTCGGGCGTGGGGCCGGGCCACCCCCCCGCCATCCTCAGCCCCACTTCCATGCCTGCGAGCAGCGGCGCGAGGGCCACGGTGGAGCCGTCGGGGGCCAGCACCGCGCCGCGCTCGGGCACCGCGGGGTCGGGGCGCAGGAGGTGGGTGAGCAGCGCCCGCTGCTCGGGGCTGAGCACCGGCAGGTCCGGGGGGGTGGCGGGGGGGTCCCCCAGCACGGCGAGGCACCCAGGGGTGCTGCAGCTCCCCAGCGCCCGCGCCAGCTCCGGCAGGCTCAGCTCCTCGGCGGCCTCCAGGGCTTCCACCATCTGCAGCACCGTGTCCATGCGGCGCGGGGGGAGAGCTGGGAGGGGGGATGGAGGCAGCTGGGGGGGGGCGCGCACCCGAAACTGGGAAGGGAAAGCCCCCGGAATGGAGGGACTGAACCCAAAAGGAGGCAGGCGCACCCACGCTGCGTGCGGAATGGGGGGAAGGCACGAGGAGGTGGGTGAAAAGGGGCCAGAGAAGGGCAAACGGACCCAAAACGGGGCAAATGAATGCAGAAATGAGCAAATGCACCCAGAGCAGGATGCAGGCACCCAAAGCAGAGGGAAAGCACCCAAAATCAGGGGGAAAGCACCCAAAACAGACGGAAAACACCCAGCAAAATGCACCCAGAAAAGGGTAAATGCACCCGGAGAGAGGTGAATGCACCCGGAACAGGGCAAAGGCGGCCAGAAAAGAGCAAAAGCACCCAAAAAAATGGGGAAAAGCCCTCAAAGCAGAGCAAATGCACCCAGAGGTGGCCAGAACAGGGCAAATGCAGCCCAAAAAGGGCAAATACACTAAAAATTGAGCAAATGCACCCCAAAATCAGGCAAATGCATCCAGAGAGCAAAGTGAAAGCACCTGGAGCAGGGCCAAGGCACGCGGAAAAGGGCAAAAGCACCGAAAGCTGGGAAAATGCCCCCACAGCAGCATGGATGCGTGCCAGAAAAGGGCAAAAACGCCCAGAAAAAGGCAAAAGCATCCAGAAAAGGGCAAAAGCACCCCCAAAACAAGGTGACAGCTCCCGGTATGAGCACCCGGAGCCCAATGGAAGCAAAACGCACCCAAAAGTGGGGGCACCCCCCAAACACCACCCTCCCCTCCCTCTCAGACACTCAACCTGCCTCGATTTCGGGCTAAAACCTCACTAATTAGGGAAACGAGAAGCGTGGGTGGAGCCGTTTGTGCCAGAACCGGGGCTTGCGGGGCTGCAGCGCGTCGTGACATGTCGCGACGTGCCGTGGCCTGTCATGACACGCGGCCACGGGGCCTCCCCCTACCTGTGCCAAGCCGGGCGCAGAGGCCGAGCGCCACGACGAGCCAGGGGAGCATGGCGCAGGGCAGCGCGCGGCCCCCGGTCGATGCATGGCACGGACTTTGTCCCCAAGGCCTGGGGGTGTCACCGGGGCACGGGGGCCGCTGGGGGGGGACACATGGGCACCGGGGGGTGGCACCTGCATGTGGCACGTGTGTGTGTGTGTGGGTGGCTCACATGTGCAAGGTGGTGTGCACGTGGTGGAGCCTGGGAAGGGGACCTGTGTGTGTGTGCGTGTGCATGGAGTGTCCCTGGGGGGGTGCACACACATGTGTGTGCGTGCACATACGTGTGCGTGCTCACCTGTGAGTGCACAGGGAGTGCGCACACGCACCGTGCGTCCACGTGCACAGAGGTGTTTGCACACATGATGGCACGCGTGTGCATGCGTGTGTGTGTGCACATATGTGCACACGTGTGTCTGCACCAACTCTGCAGCCCATTCCCCCCCCCCCCCAGTTCCCCCACCTCCTGCACTACTGGTTAAACTGGGTCCCAGCCAGGGAGCCCCCCCCCCGCCCCGTGCCCAGCAGCCCCAGCACCCACGGGTGCCACGCTGAGGCTGCCCCAGCGCCCATGGGTGTGGTGGGGGCGTTGCGCCATGCTGTGGGTGGCCGGGGCACCCATGGGTGCGGTGGCAGGGTTGCAGCGTGCTAGGGGTGGCCCAGCAGCCAGGACACGCTGCCAGCAGGCGTGCCAGGGCATGGCGGTGCCACCGCGACGTGTCGGGGCGTGATGCCACCAGGACACGCATGGTGGGGACAAGGACACCAGGACATGTCACAGCATGAAGCCACCAGCACATGCATAGAGGGGACAACGCCACCAGGACGTGTCCGGGGACAATGCCACCAGCACACACACGGTGGCACAGTGACACCAGGACACACCAGGGCATGTGACAACATCGTGCTGTGTCCCCACCCCTGGCCCAACCTTCGCCCCGTCCCCGTTCCGGGTGCCAAAGTGCGTCCAGCCAGGGGGGGACCATGGTGGCCGCCTGGGTGCTGGGTCCCTTGGGCGCCCTGCTGCTCGCCCTGCTGCTGGGGTGGCTGCCGGGCGCGGTGGCCGCTGTCACCCGCTTCCGAGCCACTTGTCACCACCTGCACCGCTTCCCCCGGCCCCCCTGGCGCAACTGGCTGCTGGGGCACACCGGGATGGTGAGGGGACACGGGGACGGGGACGGCAGGAGGGGCTGCAGGGACAGGGAGGTGGCATTTGGGGTGGGGGGGGAGCAGGAAGGAGGTGGTGGCACCGGGTGGGGACAGCAGGGACAGGGCGGCGGAACTGAACGGGGACAGTGGGGACAGGGGGGTGGCACTTGGGGTGGAAGCGGGGGCAGGAGGGACGGAGAGGTTGCACCTGGGGGTGACAGCAAGTGCCGGGTGGTGACACCCACGGGGGGGGGGGGACAGGAGGGACAGGAGGTGGCATTTGGGGGGTGACGGCAGGGACAGAGCCGTCGGTGACCGCGCGGTGCCCGTGGCGCAGGGGAGGAACACGGAGGAGGGGCTGCAGGACGTGGACCAGCTGGTGGCACGCTACCGCCGCGGCTGCCTCTGGTGGGTGTCCCCGTGGCTGCCCGTCCTCCGCCTCTTCCACCCCGACACCCTGCGCCCCGTGCTCATGGCCTCAGGTAGCCCACCATGGGGGACGCTGGAGGTGGTGGGAGGGGGACACGGGGGTCACCGAGCTGTCCCTGAGGGTCCCCAGGGCCACCCAGAGGTGCCACCTGCGGGTGGCCCGGCCGTGCCGTCCCCTGGTGGCCACCAACCCAATGCCAGGGGCCACCCGAAGGCGTGAGCCACAGGCAACCCAAAATGCTCATCCCGTGGTGGCCACCGACCTGTCCTCGAGGGGCCCTGGAGTCACCCAAAAGTGTCACCCGGGGCTGATTTGGTGACCCAGCACCCGTGGTGGCCACCAACCCGTCCCCAAGGGTCCCCATTCCAAATTGCCAAAATTGGCATGGTTGTGCCCAAATACCCTCCCTGTGATGGCGACACCCCCCCGTGGGTGCACAAGGGGGGGGATCCCCACTCCTCAGGAACCCCAAGCCCCTTGCAAGCCCCCAAGGGGACCTGGTGCCCCCCCTGTGCCACCCCTCCCTGCTGGATGTCCTCGTTCCCCTCTCTTGCAGCCTTCATCGCTCCCAAGGACAAACTCTTCTACGGCTTCCTCAAGCCCTGGCTGGGTGAGTGGGGGCCCTGGGCAGGGGGGAGGGGGGCAGCACCCATGGGTGCCCCACAGATGGCACAGGGAGCCTCGCGCAGGGGACGGGCTGCTGCTGAGCCGCGGGGACAAATGGGCCCGGCACCGGCGCCTGCTGACGCCCGCCTTCCACTTCGACATCCTCAAGTCCTACGTGAGCATCTTCAACAGCAGCACCCACACCATGCACGTGAGCACGGCCCCCCGGCACCCCCACCTGCACCCGGACCCCCGCTCCTGACCCAAATCCACACCCACACCCTGGGTCCTCACCCAAATCCTCACCCAGACCCCAGTCCCTGACCCTTCCCCTCACCCGACCCCCGCCTCCTGTCCCCATCCCACCCCCCCCACCCCCTGACCGTCACCCCCTGCCCTCAGGCCAAGTGGCGGGCGGCGGCGGAGGCGGGGGGGGGCACGGCGGAGCTGAACGTGCTGGAGCACCTCAGCCTCCTCACCCTCGACAGCCTCCAGAAATGCATCTTCAGCCACGACAGCCGCTGCCAGGAGTGAGTGTGGCCCCGTCCCCACGCCAAGGACCCCCCCGACCCCATCACATCCCCCCCAGCCCTGTCCCCAGCGAGGTGCCACCACCCCGGCACCGTCCCTTTGGCGTTTCCCCCCCAAATCGCTGGTGGCCGTGTCCCCAGCGGTCCCCCCGTTGTCCCGCAGGCAGCCCAGTGAGTACATCGAGGCCATCCTGGAGCTCAGCACCTTGGTGGTGCGGCGCCACCACCGGCTGCTCCACCACCCCTCGTGGCTCTACCGCCTCTCGGCCGACGGGCGCCGCTTCGCCCGCGCCTGCGCCACGGTGCACGCCTTCACCGCCGACGTGGTGCAGCGCCGGCGCCGAGCCCTCAACACCCTCGGCCACCAGGCCTGGCTGGAGAGCCACCAGGGAAGGAGCATGGACTTCATCGACCTCCTGCTGCTGACAAAGGTTTGGGATGGGGACGGGGGCGCTGGGGCCGTGGCGAGGGTTGGGGGTAGGATGGTGGCCACAGGGAGGTGGCCAAGGAGCCGTGGTGCCCAGTAGGGTGGTGGTAGCCACGGGGAGGACTGGCCATGCGGTGGTGGCCATAGCGGGACGATGGTGGCCAAGGGGATCGTGGTGGCCCTGGGAAGGGTTGGCCACTATAAGGGGATGGTGGTGGCCATGGGAAAGGCCGGCCACCTCCTTGTGGCCACGGGGTGTCACCGGTGGCCATGGACGCTCACCCTTGCAGGACGAGGACGGCAACACCCTGTCGGATGAGGACATCTCGGCCGAGGCCGACACCTTCATGTTCGAGGGTGAGGGAGGCCACGGGGTGCCATCGGGGGGGACACGGGGACGCTCGGATGTCCCCTCACCCCCTCCTTGTCCCCGACAGGGCACGACACGACGGCCAGCGGCCTGGCCTGGCTGCTCTACAACCTGGCTCACCACCCCCAGTACCAGGAGCGGTGCCGCCAGGAGGCCCGCGAGCTCCTCAAGGGCAGGGACGTGGCGGAGATCGAGTGGTGAGAGACCCCCCCCCGCGGTGCCATCGTCCCCTCGGCCACCCGGCTCGGGGACCCCCGGTGTCACTGTCCTGCACCCTCCCCCCTCCAGGGACGACCTGTCCCGCCTGCCCTTCACCACCATGTGCATCAAGGAGAGCCTCCGCCTGCACCCCCCGGTCACCGCCGTGTCCCGGCGCTGCACTGAGGACATCGCCATGCGTGACGGGCGCGTCATCCCCAAGGGTAAGCCCCGAGGTGTCCCCAACGTCCCCAACGTCCCCGTCCCTCCGCTCCCCGGTCCGTAATGCGGCCCTGTGTCCGTCCCACCAGGGGTCGTCTGCCTGATGAGCATCTACGGGACCCACCACAACCCCGAAATCTGGCCCGAGCCCCAGGTAGAGCCACCGCTGGCAGGGCCGTGGGGCTGAGGGGTGTCCCCGCCACCAGCGTCCCCACGGCGTGCCAGCGTCCCTCCTCACCCCAGGTCTACAACCCGCTGCGCTTCAGCCCGGAGAACAGCCAGGGCCGCTCCCCGTTGGCCTTCATCCCCTTCTCCGCCGGGCCCAGGTAAGTCCCGGTGGGGACACGGCCGTCCCCAAGCGCCACCCGCCAGCCCCGGGGTGCCGAGCCCGACGGTGACACCCCCCGGGGGGGATGTGGTGGCAGGAACTGCATTGGGCAGAGCTTCGCCATGGCCGAGCTGCGCGTGGTGGCGGCGCTGACGCTGGCGCGCTTCGCCGTGAGGCCGGACCCCACCAGGCCGGTGCGCCGCAAAACCGAGCTGATCCTGCGCGCCGAGGACGGGCTCTGGCTGCGCCTGGAGCCGCTGCCGGAGGAGGCCTGAGGAGCGGGGACGCGGGGACAGGGGGACACGGGGACACCCCAAGCGATGGCTGTGTCCCCCCCGCTCCACCAGCAGTGAATAAACGGTGGCACAGTGGGAACGGCGGCGTGGTGGTGGTGGTGGCACGGGGTTGGGGTGGGGGACATGGGGGTGACGGGGAGGTCCCGTGGGGCTCCGTGGGGATGTCACCGTGTGCCCAGTGTCACCGCGCGGCGGGGACGCGTCCCCCGGGGCCACCCGATGGCATTCGGGGTGGGGATGTCCCCAGAGCCTCGTGTCACCTCCTGGCAGAGCCGTGTCACCTGGCGAGGGCACGTCCTGGTGCCGTGTGTCCCATCCCTGGCGTGTCCCCAGTGTGTCCCCAGAGTGTCCCCAGCGTGTCCCCAATGAGCCCCCAGTATGTCCCCAGCATGTCCCCAGAGTGTCCCCAACGTGTCCCCAGTGTGACCCCATCATGACCCCAACGTGTCCCCAACGCGTCCCCAATGAGCCCCCAGTATGTCCCCAGCATGTCCCCGTTGTGTCCCCATCGTGTCCCCAACACGGACCCGCGCAGGACGCCGGGGTCAAGGCCAGGTCAGGGGGGGTCACCGCAGGGGTCACGCAGCGGGCAGGGCTCAGGGGGCGGGGCCGAGGCAGCCCGTCCTTCCCACAATGCCCCGCGCCACCGGCGTCTGTAGCAACGGGTGGGCGGGGCCACGGCGCCCATAGCAACGGCGGGGCGGCTGCGGCGTGCCTGGCAACGGGTGGGCGGGGCCACGGGGCGCGTAGCAACGGGTGGGCGGAGCCAAGGAGCGCGTAGCAACGGGTGGGCGGGACCAAGGAGCGCTTGGCAACAGGTGGGCGGGGCCACAGGGCGCATAGCAACGGATGGGCGGGGCCACGGAGCGCGTAGCAACGGGTGGGCGGGACCAAGGAGCGCTTGGCAACGGGTGGGCGGGGCCAATGGGCGCATAGCAACGGATGGGCGGGGCCACGGAGCGCGTAGCAACGGGAGGGCGGGACCAATGAGCGCAGAGCGGCGGCGGGGCGGGGCCGCCGGCTTCCGGTCACGTGAGGCGGGCGGCTGAAGCCGCGGTGAGGCGGCGCCATGGCGGCCGCGTCCGGTGAGCGGGGACCGGGGCCGGGGCCTGGGGTTGGGCCTGGGCCTGGGGGTGAGAGGTGGACCCGGGGCCCCCCCGTTACCGGTACCGGCCCCTTACCGTTACCGGCCCGTTTCCCGCAGAGACCGAGCGGCTGCTGAGCCGCGGGCCCGGTTACGGCGCGACGGAGGCCCCGGTGGCGGCGGCGGAGGAGGAGGAGGAGGAGGAGGAGGAGGAGGAGGAGGAGGAGGAGCTGCGGCGCCGCCTGAAGTATTTCTTCATGAGCCCCTGCGACAAGTACCGGGCCCGGGGCAGGCGGCCCGTGAAGCTGGGGCTGCAGCTGGCCAAGATCCTGCTGGTCACCGTGCAGGTGGGGGGGGGCACCGGGGGCATGGGGGCACCGGGGAGGGGATGGGGGGGAATGGGGGGAATGGGGGGGGGGCTCTGGGGGTCGGGGACTGCAGGGAGGGGGGGGGCAGCAGCGGGGGGGGGCTCAAGGCCATGGGGACATGGAGGAGGGGGCCGGAGGGGGCACGGTGGCACCGTGGGGATGTGGGGGGGGGCTCTGGGCATGGAGGGGACCCCAAAAGGCAGGCGGTGGGTGTGGGGATGGAGGGGATGGGTGGGGGGGCGTGGGGACATCATAGGGGGTTTGGGGGGGGGTGGGTACCCCCAGGGGAGCTCGGGGTTTGGGGGGGGGGGGGTGACACATTTGGGGACACCCGGGGTTCCCCACAAAAGGGGAAGAGAAAGGGGAGGGCGGTGGCACGGGTACAAAACGGGCCGAAGGCGCCAGGCTGCGGTCACAAGGCCGGGAGGAAGCAGCCACCGTGTGACCCCCGGGGTCACCCAGGGCCAGCCCAGGCCTCCCCCTGCTCCTTGTGCAGAGGTAAACACGGCTGTAATTAGCTCCTCTTGATGAACAAGAGGTAATTACCGGGGCGGGGCAAGGTTTGGAGCGTGCAGGCAGGAAAAACACCGATGGGAGATCGCCGTCCCCTCTGCCAGCGTGTTTTTTTTAGGGTTTTTGGCACGTGTGGGTCCCCACAGAGCACTGTTTTTGGGGAAATCAGGGGGAGGTGGGGTGCAGGGAGCTGGCCCTTGGCTCCCTGGGGACCCCGAGCTCGGGGTGTTGGCATTTTCCTTCCCCTGAGCGCTCCGGGCTGCGTTTCGGATCCGTTTCACGGCGCTGCCGGGACTGGGGGGGTTGATCCCGGTCCCCTGTGTCCCTCAGCTCATCCTCTTCGGGCTCAGCAACCAGATGGTGGTGACGTTCAAGGAGGAGAACACCGTCACCTTCAAGCACCTCTTCCTCAAGGACTACGTGGACGGCGCCGGTGACTCCTACGCCGTCTACACCCAGCGCGACCTCTACGACCACGTCTTTTACACCGTGGAGAAGGTGAGAACCGTGCCTGGGGGGGGGGCACGGAGGTGCTGGGGGCCGTGGGCAGCCCCTGAGGGCATCTCCTTCGCCAGTACCTGGCCATCCCCAACGAGACCATCGGCCGCTACGCCTACGTGCGAGGGGAGAGCGGGGGCAACCAGTCGGCCCTCATGCTGTGCCAGCAGTACTACCGCAAAGGGCGCATCGACCCCGCCAACGACACCTTCAACATCGACCCCAAGATCGTCACCGGTGCGTGGGGGGGACGGCCGGGACCTCTGGGTCCTGGGGAGGGGTCTGGGGACTGCTGGGGGTGGGTTTTGTTGGGTTTTTTGGCTCCGTGCGCTGGATTTGAGAAGGACCAAGGGGTCTGCAGGGGTCTTTGGGCTTCCCTGAAGGCGTTCCTTCCTCCCTGCAGACTGCCTGGGAGTGGACCCCGAGGACACGCACCCGCTGCCCCCGGAGCTGGACCGCAGCTACAAGAATTTCACCCTCAAATTCCACAAGTAAATCGCCGTCACCTTCCCCGCCGCGTGCCGGGGACATCACCCCCGGTGCAGGCGATTCCTCCTGCCTCACGGGTTCTGGGCTCGCTGCCGGGATGGAAAAGCACCCGGTGGTTTTAAAAACGGTCACGAGACGGACAGAAACAGCCCTTGAGCTGAGGGAGATGTGAAACCGGGGTGGTTGCACAAGAGGCAGCTGCTTTCCGGCTCTGTTGGCCCTGAGGCACCTCTTCGGTCCTGCAACGCAGGCAGCGAGGGTTGCTTTCCCTCCCCAAAACTCCCCCAGCCTTCGGTGCTGTTTTGGTGACCCCTGGGCAGCTTTTTGGCACCACCAGGTCCTGGCCCTGACCCCGCTTCCCCGTTCTGTGCCGGGGTTGGTGCCAGGCAGAGGGATCCCAGGGCTGGTGCTGGGAGCTGTGGCACCCTGGAAGTCAAATTCCCCGCTGCTGGGGCTGTGGTTTGATTCTCCACGGCTTCGATGCCCTTTTGGTGCTCCCAAAAGGTTACACCCCCAGCGGGGCCGGCTCCTTGCCTCGGAGCTGGGTTTTTGGGGTTGGCGCGGGGCCGTTCCAGCCCGTCCCCTCCCTTAGGCTCATCAACGTCACCATCCAGTTCAAGCTGAAGGCCATCAACATCCAGACCATCATCAACAACGAGATCCCGGACTGCTACACCTTCACCATCACCGTGAGTGCTCGGCGAGGGGGCTGGGGGTGGGCGCGGGGGGCTGCCGGTCCCACCAGCAGTCCCCCTCTGTCCCCCCCTGTTCCCAGATCACGTTTGACAACAAGGCGCACAGCGGCCGGGTGAAAATCCGCCTCGACAACCGGGCTGACATCAAGGAGTGCAAAGATCCCAGCATTTTCGGCAGGGGTAGGGGTGGTGGCAGCGGCCCCCCCGGCACGCCGCGATCCTGGTGTCCCCCCACCCCTCGCTGATGAGATCCCCTGCGTGTCCCCACGCAGGTGACAACTCCTTTCGGCTCTTCTTCGACGTGGTGGTGATCCTGGTCTGCTCCCTCTCCTTCATCCTCTGCGCTCGCTCCATCATCCGGGGCCTGCTGCTGCAGCACGTGAGTGCCGGGGCGCCGGGGAGCAGCGCTAAGCGTGGCCCCCGCCCCCCCCTGTAAGCCCTGGGGGCGGCCGGAGCTGCCTCCAAGGTGTTTCCTCAACAAAAAAAGGGCGTTTTCTCAAAAACAGGGGGTCTTAAGACAGCCTGCTTGCACGGGAATGCTCAGACAAAGCCCCAGCTCCCGCCTGGGTGCTGAGGAGGGGGTGAAATGGGGGGGCTGCTCCCTGAGGACCCGGTTTCTCCTCCCCACGCAGGAATTCAGCCGGTTTCTTCCAGCGCCGCTACGGCCAGAGCGTGTGCCTGTCGGACCGCATGGAGTTCCTCAACGGCTGGTACATCCTGCTCGTCATCAGCGACGTGCTCACCGTGCTGGGCACCATCATGAAGATCGGCATCGAGTCCAAGGTAGGGGGGCTCCGGGGGGGGCAAAGGGACAGGCAGGGTCCTGTCCTGCCGCTGTCCCAGCTCGTGGCCGGCGCTGGGGACCCATTTTAGGCTCAGTTTCACCTCTGTCCCTGCAGAACTTTGCCGGCTACGACGTCTGCAGCATCCTCCTGGGCACCTCCACGCTGCTGGTCTGGGTCGGGGTCATTCGCTACCTCACCTTCTTCCAGAAGTACAACGTGAGTGGCTGCGGGGAGACAGCCCCTGACCCGAGGGGGCGATTTTTGGGGCTGACCCTGAGCACTGAGGCGCTCGGTGGGGCTGGGCCCATCCTGTGGCTGCTGCGTGTGGCCCCGGCTCCTTGTCCTCTGCGGGACACCTCAGAATCACATCGGGTGCCTGAACTCCATCCCTCACTGCTGCTCTCGTGGGAATTGTCCCTGTTAGCCCACCTCGCGGGTCCCCTTCCCCTCCTGGCAGACTTCTGATGTTCTCCAGAGGATGGAGTTTGATCCCCGTGGGTTTTTCCCCCCCCCAGATTCTCATCGTGACGCTGCGGGTGGCCCTCCCCAACGTCATCCGCTTCTGCTGCTGCGTGGCCGTCATCTACCTGGGCTACTGCTTCTGCGGCTGGATCGTGCTGGGACCCTACCACGTCAAGGTGCTGCTCCAGGCTGCCCCGAGGTGGGCTCGGGTGGGCTTCCCCCGCCCCGGGGGCGATTCCCTGCCCTGATTCCCACAGAGAAGGGTGTGGGGCTGGGTTAAATGAGGCACCCGATGGAGCAGCAGCGTTGGGGCGTTGAGCTGCGTGGCTGTGGGTTATTTGGAGATCCCAGGCTGATAGCAGAAGGGATGGGGGGTGACGGGGTGGCTCGACGTGTCCGGCAGCTCCGTGTCCCTTCCCGCCCCAGTTCCGCTCCCTCTCCATGGTGTCCGAGTGCCTCTTCTCCCTCATCAACGGGGACGACATGTTCGTCACCTTTGCCGAGATGCAGCAGAACAGCTACCTGGTGTGGCTCTTCAGCCAGATCTACCTCTACACCTTCATCAGCCTCTTCATCTACATGGTCCTCAGCCTCTTCATCGCCCTCATCACCGGCTCCTACGAGACCATAAAGGTGAGGCTGAACCCCAGCGAAGCTTCCAGGCTTTTCCCTTTTCCCTGGTGGCTGTGCTGGGGCAGGGAGCCAACACCCGAGGCCGGAGGGCTTCATCTCCCCTCTCCCACCCCTGCAGCACCAGTGCGAGGGCGAACCCCCCGTGTCCCAGCTCCACGCCTACATCGCCGAGTGCAAGGACAGCCCCAAGTCGGGCAAGTACCGCCGCGGCAGCGCCTCGTCCTGCTCCGTCTTCTGCTGCTGTGAACGGTGAGCACGGGGAGGGCTCTGCAGCCCCCCCCCCCTCCACCCCCAGCCCTCAGCCGTGCTGGGGGGGGGAGGATTTAGAGCTCACATTGTGCTGGTTCCGTGCCCGGTGGCGCAAGGGTTGTGATTTCCAGCCTCGTTGGGTTGCTTTGAGCTGTGTCTCGGTGCCAACCTCTGGCTTTTGGTGCCCCAAAATGTCCTCGGGGGGCCCCTCAGTGGGTTTATGGTCAGCGTTCCTTCCCCAGTGCCCATCGTTAACCTCGTGGCTGCGTTTGCCACTTGTTTCTGGGGTGTTGGGGCATTGCTTTTGCTGCGGCTGCCTCTATTTGAAGCTTTCTCCTCCCAATTAACCCGATTTTCCCCCCGTTCACCCGCAGGGCTCCTCTGCAGGACAACGCGATGCTGGTGAACTGAGGTTGGCTCCCAGGGACTCGCAGCACTTTGTGCTCCCAGCGGCCTCGAGCCCTTTTATTATTTTACCGTCTGCTTTTACCGACTGGGGGCTTGGCAGCAGCCCCCAAAGGAGCAGGGATCAACGGCGCCCGTGTGCCCACGGACACCCCACAGGTGACGGGGAGAGCAGACGGATGCTCGTCCCATTTTATTTTTGGCAGGGGCCGTGCCTCTGCGCTCCCAGTCCCCAACTGGAGGCCAGCAGCAACGCGGGGGCTCGCTTGCAGCCCCTCAGCTGTAATTTGGGGGCTCAGCCCCGAGCCCTGCAGCCCCTGGGCTGTGTCGTGGACTTCTCCCTGCTCTCAGCACTGAGCCCAGCTGCCCCTTGGCCACGTTTTGGGACAAATCCTTGGGCTCTGTCCCAAACCCCCGCAGCCCTTTGGCTGCCTTGGGGGCTTTGTTCTCATCCTGGCTTCCCTTTGGCTGCGTAAAGGACATTTTGGGGGGTTTGTCCCTAAGCCTCACGGTGAAGCATTTGTCCCTGCAGCCCCTTGGTGACACCGAGGACGTGTCCCTGCTCTCAGTCCTGAGCCCTGCAGCCCCTCAGCACCACCAGGCTCCTGTTTGGGATTGCAGCCTGGATCCCAACACCCCTGGGGGACTTATCCCTGTCCTCACCTCCCCGTTACCCATTTTGGGGTCCCAGGAGCCCCCTTCCCAGCTCCAAGCAGAGGGCCAGGAGCCGCGCCGTGTCCCCGTGCCCCAGCTCCCGGCCTCCTCCTGTCCCTGGGGCTGGGATTTTGGCACCCGCCGCTTGTTTACGCGGCGCCGGCCGGGTCAAGGGCAGGTTTTGTAAGCGGCCCAGCAGCTGCTCCCCGCTGGAGCGGGGCCAGGGGCCTGCTGGCTCCAGGCACGGCCCGAAAAAAGGCTGAATTCAACCCAAATCGCGGCCCGGTGGCGATGGCGGCACTGAAGGGGTGAATAAAGCACCCGGGGACAGCGGCGCCTCTGTGCTCTGTGGGACCCTGCCCAGCACCCATGGGTGCCCTGGGGGGGGAGGGGGGCTGCTGGGGCTGGGGGGGGGCAGGTGACAGCTGGGGGGGGACAGCTGGGACCTGGGGGGGTGCTGGAACCCCAGGGCAGGGCTGGGGGCTGGGGCTGGGTGCCCCCACCCTGGGGCGCCCCCACCCTGGGGTGCTGCTGGGGACGGGGCGCCACTCCCAAGATGGCGCCGGGGCCCGGCCGCCCCGCGATAACATCGCGCCCCTCCTGCCACACCCAAGATGGCGCCCCGCGATAACATCGTCCCTCTCGTGCCACACCCAAGATGGCGCCCGCGCTCCCCACCAATGGGCTTCCCGCTGTCTCCCCGCGGACCTTCCAAGATGGCGCCGCCACCGGGACGCTCCCCGCCCCCCTCGTGACGTCAGGCGGGGAGGGCGGGCGGCCTTAAAGGAGCCATGACCCCGCGGGGGCCGCCGCCGAGGCCGGAGCGGGGCGGGAGGCGGCGACCGGCGGGCGGTGAGCGCGGAGACCCCCCCGGGGGGCGGTAACGGGGGGCGGGGGGGGAATGGAGGGGGCTCCCCCCGGCACGGCTGGGGGGGATTTATCGCTGGGGAGGGGGAGGGGAGGAGGTGGTGCCGGCCGGGGGGGGGTTGGGAGGAGGGCAATACCCCCCCGGGGGGGGGGCAATAACCCGGGGGGGGGCAATATTAGCCTGGGGAGGGGGCAATAATGCGTGGGGGGGGTTGAGGTGATGTTAGGTCCCTGGGGGGGGGGAGTGTGGGGGGGGGGGGCAATGGTGTCTATATGGGGGCTGGGGGGAGGGGGTGTTGTTAGCTGGGGGGGGGGGGATTTTCACCTTGGGGGTGTTAAAGGGTGTGTGTGGGGGTAAAATCAGCCCGGGGGGGGGGTGGGGGGCAATGCTGGCCTGGGGGGGGGGCAATGCTGGGAGCGTTTGTCTTCGGTGGGGGGGGGCAGAACCAGCCGGGGGGGCAACACTGGCCTTGGAGGGGGGGGGGGCAGAAGCCATGGGGGGGCAGTTGTCACCCTCAGGGGGGGTCCTGGCCCCCGCTGTCCCCACCCGTGGTGGCGGTGGCAGGGGGGTGACCGGGTGCCAGCCCCCGGTGACGTCCCCGCGCCGGTGGCTGCCGAGGCCACCGCCACCTCCCCGGGCGTCCTTGGGAAGGACGGGGGACACCGGGGGGGGGGGAACGCGGGGGGGGGGGCACCGTCCCCTTGGGGTGGCACCCGGGCCCCACAGGTGACAGCGGGGACCAGCGGTGGCCTCGGCATGGCGTCGGGGGCTGTCGCAACGCCCCACGGCTTCCTGCCACCGCTTCCTCTCCATGGGGGAGAGGGGACATCACAGTCCCCAAAGGGACACAAACGACCCCAAAAGGGAAGCCAGGGACCCCAAAGGGACACCAAAGACCCCAAAGGGACACAGAAGTCCTCAACCAGCCCCTCCGTGCCACCCAGCGCCATGGGGACACCCTGTGGGACAACCCAGCCCCTCCCCGTGCGTTTAATCGGGGCGGAATCGCCCCATTTGGGGACGTCGCCCCCGCTTACCCATCCCCAAATTATTTTGTCCCCGTTTTCCCCCCTTTTTCGGCAGCTCCCTGCATGGGCAGAGCCCCGCGGCAGCCATGGGCAGGGCGAGTCGGAGCCGCAGGAGGAGGCGGAGGTAGGGAACGCCACCGCCGCTGGATGGGGTGGAGTGTCGTGTCCCCCCCATCCGTGTCCCCTCCACCCCGGGGTGTCCCCCCATGGGCTCAGCCTCCTGTCCCCGCAGGACGCGTCCCTGACGGCCGTGCTGCCCAGGCTGTTCGCCGACGAGCCGCTCTCCACCGGGGCGGTGAGTGCCACCAACTCGTCCCCGCGCCCTTGGGGACAACGTCCCGGTCCCCAAATCCTGTCCCCCAGCGCCCCCCCATCCCCAACGTCCCCGTCCCTGTGCCCCAAGGGGCGGCGTTCCCCATTAAGGGAAATGAAGGTGACAAACCTGTCCCCGTGCCCCAGGGGACACCGAGCGGTTCCCGCTCCCTCGGGGGTGGTTGTCCTGGGCCCTGGTGCTGCTGAGCACCCCCGGGGGGGCACAAACTTGTCCCACGCCTTTAGGGACGCGTCCTGGCCCCCGGTGCTGCTCAGCCCCTTGGAGGACAAATTCTTGTCCCCACACCCCCTGGGGCCCCACCTGGTCCCCACCACCACCGAGCACCTCTCCCCCCCCATGCGTGTCACCGGGGTGGCAGTGCCATCGGTCACCCCACGCCCTCGTCCCCGTGCAATGGGGAGGGGTCTGGGGGTCTCACGGGGACCCCGTGTCCCCCCCGCAGGTACTGGGGGTGCTGCTCGGCCTCAGCCTCTTCGCCATCCTCGTGGCCGCTGCCATCGTGGTGCTGGTCCGGCGGCTGCGCCTCAAGAGTGAGTGACACCGGGTGACAACACCGCGGTGGCCCTGGGGCCCCCGTGCCTCAGTTTCCTCCACGAAGCGCAGAGGGGAGGTGACAGCGGCGGGGTGACAGGGCCGTGCCCCCCTTAACCTGTCCCCTTCCTGCTGCCCAGAGGTCCCGGCGCAGGGGACACCCAAATACCGCTTCCGAAAGAGGGACAAGGTGCTGTTCTACGGGCGCAAGATCATGCGCAAGGTGACGCTCGGGGGGTGGCAGCGGGGGGGTAGCATCTCCCCGGTGTCACCGGCGGGGGTGACGTCCCCTCTGGGTCCCCGCCAGGTCTCCCAGTCCACCTCCTCCCTGGTGGACACCACCATCTCCAGCACCTCGCGGCCCCGCATGAAGAAGAAGCTCAAAATGCTCAACATCGCCAAAAAGTGAGGTGCCCCCGCGGCGGGCGGGCGGGCGGGTGGCAGAGCCCGGTGTCACCTCGCTGTCCCCTCGCTGTCCCGCAGGTTCCCGCATCCAGAAGGAGCTGCCCACGCTAGCTGAAGGAGCCCCCCCCCTCGGTGCTGGAAGCCGACCTGACCGAATTTCGACGTGGCCAATTCCCACCTCCCCTCCGAGGTGCTCTACATGCTCAAAAACGTCCGGCTTGAGGCTCGGGGTTCGGGATCCGACCCCACCCCAAATCCTTTTTATGGCCTGGGGGCGTTCGCAGGATGCTCTCAGCACCAGGGGATGTGGGGAGGAGCTGCTGGGGGGCCGGGGGGGCCGTTTGTGTGGTGCCCGTCGGGTTGGGCTCGGTTGTCACCTGCTGGTCCTCCTTCTAGCAGTGCTGGGGACACTTTGAGAAGCCGC